GTGCTCTTCGATCTTCCTCGTGGGCACCGTGGGCAACAGCCTGGTGCTGGCCGTGCTGCTCCGCAGCGGCCGGGCGGTCAGCACCACCAACCTGTTCATCCTCAACCTGGGCGTGGCCGACCTGAGCTTCATCGTGTGCTGCGTGCCCTTCCAGGCCACCATCTACACCCTGGACGGCTGGGTGTTCGGCTCCCTGCTCTGCAAGGCCGTGCACTTCCTCATCTTCCTCACCATGCACGCCAGCAGCTTCACGCTGGCCGCCGTCTCGCTGGACAGGTCAGCGCGCGCCCTGGCCCCCCAGGGCCGGGACTCGAGGATCAAGGAAAGGGGCAGAGAGAGTAAAACAGGACTCCACCACTCAGAGGGGCCGGGAGGGAGGGAAAGACGGCGGGCAGGCGTGCTGGCGAGAGAGGAGTAATTAGAGCGGCGGGAGGGGGCTGCAGTGTCCCTCTGTCAGCTGCGTCCTTGGGCTGCAGCCTGGAGACCTCAGCTCTCCAGCGCCGCCAGCAGCCAGCAAGCGCAGCGTTTTCCAGAGCTTGGTCTCGCTTGAGGCTCAATGACCCCGTGAGATTGGGGTGGGAGGGGTGACTGTGCCCACTGCACAGACGAGGGAGGTCGAGGGGTTCAGAGTCGCCCATCCAGTACTTGTGTGCGGGAAGCCAGCGCTCGTGGCGTCAAACTCAGCCTCGAAGCTACGGTTTGCTCCGCGCCCTGGACTCAGGCCCGGGCTTGGGAATTTGGGTGCTTCGTGGGGGCCCATGCCACGCCCGAGGTCCCTGGCTTGGTCCCACCCCTTCTGCACCCCACCTCCAGGCCCAGGTCAAGGGCAGGGAGAGGAACGCGCAGAACTCGCCCGCCCCCTAAGCCAGAGCGTGGAAGGACACCTGGGGAGGAAAGGAGGGTCTGCCCACGGTCTCTCCCCGCTCCCCTTGGTCCCCACGCACTGCCCCTCTCCTCTGGGAAAGGAGCGAGGTGAGCCCGCCTTCCACACGCGCCTCCCAGTTCCACTGAGCGCGGAGTGTCGGTTCCGGAGCGCGGGTGCCGCCCAAGGCGCGTCCGCTTCCCTAAGGAGATTAGTTGCCTGACTTCCCAGGCTGTCTCCTCAGGCGCCTGCCTGGGCCCACCTCCCCGGGCATCGTCACTGGTGGGTAGTAGCCTCCCGGTGCCCCCCGCCGGTTCCGACTCCACCCGGTAGTAGCCCCGGAAAGAGCAGATGAGTGGCCTCTACGTGCGCCTTTCCTGCTGCTGGGTCGCCCTGGGTGGGTGTGCGCTGTGACCGTGCACTGAGGACCGTCCTGGAGAGCGGGTGTAGGGCCCGAGGTGCAAAGGTCCTGGGCTGAAGGCGCAACTCCGCTCGCTCGGCTGACATCTCCCTTCCCGGCTGACCCGCAGGTATCTGGCCATCCACTACCCGCTGCGCTCCCGCGAGCTGCGCACGCCTCGCAACGCGCTGGGGGCCATCGGGCTCATCTGGGGGCTGTCCTTGCTCTTCTCCGGGCCCTACCTGAGTTACTACCGCCAGTCGAGGCTGGCCAACCTGACCGTGTGCCACCCGGCGTGGAGCGCGCCCCGACGCCGCGCCATGGACCTCTGCACCTTCGTCTTCAGCTACCTGCTGCCCTTGCTGGTG